ATGAATTCGAAAAAAATGAACTAAAAAACAGAATTTTAACATGCAAACATCAAACAATTCTGAAAATATAAACAGATTTTAAACTGTTCCATAAGTTATACAACAAGTAGAGTAGCCTATCCCTGATTTATCAATCTACTCCCAGCAAATTCACAATATAAACAGATTTTAAACTCACAAATCGAAAGAAACCAAAATTCAACATGAATTCGAAACAATTGAACTAAAAAAATTCAAAAACAATTACTTTAAATAAATAAAAAAACTCAAAAAAAAACATGAATTCGAAAAAAATGAACTAAAAAACAGAATTTTAACATGCAAACATCAAACAATCATTATTAGCAATTGAAACATGAATAAACATGCAAAAAAAGAACTTACAAATCCCAACGTGAAGGAGTTCGTGCAGGTGGACGACTGGTGTCTGTGCAGGCTGCGCTTCGACTTAGTCCTCTAACTCTAACCTTTAGTCGACCAACCAATCTGACCTAGCTGGCGAGCGATCCCAGTTCGCGGCAGAGAACAAGACAACAAGCGAGCGTACCTTTGTTCGCTTCTTCTCCACCAAGCACGGAAGCCCGAAAACGAGCTTTCTTTACTTTGACTCACAGCAGTTTCTGTTGTCCCGGTTGTTGACTAATCGATAGTTGCTGTTGCGAACTACTTCTGCTTTGCTTGCCTTCTCTTTTTTCTGATTGCGGCTGCTGAGTGAGGAGTGAGGACTGAGGAGTGAGGAGTGAGTTAGGGTTTGTGTTGTGGGTAAGTCATTTGGGTTTTGAAATTTGGGTTTTTTTTTTTTTTTAATAAAAAAGGCATTTTTACCGGGTTTCAGGTCCAGACCTGAAAACCCCGGGTTTGGACCTGATCCGGACCGGGACCGGGAACCTTGATTTTCAAGGACCGGGACCGGACCTGAATCTACAGGTCCGGTTCAGGTCCGGTCCAAACAGGTCCGGGTCAGGTCGGTTTTCAGGTCCGGTCCTGTTTATGTACACCCCTATGGGGGGGTATGCAAGTCCCTGTTCAGACTTAGCCTCAGAAGACTCTCTTCTCAAAGTGAAATAACCTGTTGACTCTATGGAAAGTTAACTCGACAAGGGACATGATCGGTAGAAACCGAGCTCCCTTCAACACATTGTTAAATGTTTCAGAGAAGTTTGTATTACATATCCCATATCTGCGACCAGCGCCGTGAAAGAGAGACCACATAGTGAACGGGACTTGAACAATATACTCCACGGCCTTGGTACACGCCTCACCGATGAAACACAAATCAGCGTGAAGTTTCCTTTCCTGCCTTTGGTACGCCGCAGCCTTGAACATATCTCTCATTTCGTTGCTTCGCACGTGAGTCTTCAAGTTAGAAGCTATGTGGCGAACACAAAACCTGTGATAGGCTCGCGGCTCGGTGAATCTAACGTTAGGATCATTCATTGCTGCAGTGATCCCAGGATGTCGGTCAGATATAATACAGAGGCCATCTTGTTGCGTGACATGAACCCGAATGCAGCCCGGGAACCAAGACCAGCTGGAAGTGTTTTCCCCTTCAACAACCGCAAATGCTAGCGAAAATACTTGAAAGCTTGCATCCACACTTGTAGCAACCAACAGTGTTCCTTTGTACTTCCCTTACAAGTGCGTCCCATCGATACAGATAACAGGCATACAATGTTTAAAACCGTCGATACAAGGACCGAAGGCCCAAAACACTCGTTCAAACACCTCCATGTTGTTGTAGTATACACCGTCCACCAGAGCTTTGTGTTTCCATGCGACACACGTTCCCGAGTTTGACTGTTAGAGTGCTTGCATGAAGTACGGAAGTCTGCCGTAAGAACTCTCCCAATCCCCAAATATTTCAGCTATTGCTTTCTCTTTAGCATACCATGATCTTCGATACATAACATCGAAATGAAATTGCTTGGAGATGAGTTCCTGTATGAATTCAACTTTCAAGGACGGATCTTTCCGCACAAAGGACTTCACATACTCTGATATTATGGACAAATCCAAGTGCGGGTGATAAGTAGATAGTACTTCATTGACACAGTTCTCCCGGTGCGGGCCTTTGTACGTGACTAGGGTAAAGCCACGCGAGTGCTCACTTGATTTGGTACCCCGTAGCATCCAGCCACATTTCTTCTTGCACCGCAAATAAAGGACACTCTCATTCGATGTCATTGTGGTGTAGTAGAATTGATTCCTCTGTATGAATACATCTTCACCATTTCTTGAAGCATTTTCTTACTTTCAAAATACATCCCCTTCTCAAATTCTCCCCCTGGAACAAACGATGTATGGCTACCCGATTCGGGCCAATACTGATCAACTTCATAGTTCTAGTTTACCAAACTGAACCAAGGTATGGGAGTTTTAACCAGGGGCTCGCCAACTTCCATGTGTGCAGGTTCAACATCCATGTTCTGAAGTCCATCTTCCTCCTCTCCGCTCTCGGCCTCATCATTTGTATACACATCATACACAGACAATTCGTTATTCACAATAGTGTCAAGATGAATTGGCACAAGTTGAGACGGCAATGCTTGAACATCATCTTGCATGGGAGAATAACTATGCAATTGCATCGGTGAAGGTGTGACGGTGTTTGATGTCAAAGGCCCAAGTTGCCCGGTCATTGCCACATATGCCCCCCCATGTACAGGTGAAGCTATATGAGAACTAAACGGCATGTGAAATTGATCGTCGTGCAGCATTCGACTGAAAGATCTCATCCCATATCCAGTTGATGGAATGTCGTGTGAGGGCATTTGGAAGGGCTCTGTGTTGTAACCGGAAATATATGTAGGTTGTTTTTCTGGCCGAGTACTTTGTTGGGTACATATAGGCACCATTTCTACATATGTCTCGGTGGGAACACCCTTCATTGCAACAACGCTCCTTAAAGCTTTCAAATGCTTATTCGTAGAAACAGGTAACACTTGAACCCCATTGCCAGTCTCAAACCTCATTTTAATGTTTAGTTCAACATTCCTTGGGTTTGAACCAATACTACTATGAACCTCGTTCATCAAATCATTAAAAGTCATGTTCGGTTCAAGTGTTAGTGGTTCCATATTTCCTCCACTATACTCGATACGTGGTCCATCAAATAGAATTTCACCTCCCCACCGGCATAACAAAACTACATTTTGTGCAACCATATTCTACACAACAACCAAAACACATTACACTTAAAGGCACTAAATCATCCCTAAATCACCATAATTAAACAACAATATACATACTTTTCAAAATAACACAGCTTAAATCAACATTAATAAACAACAATGTAGGTTATCACAATCACTCAAAAACCAACAATTATCAACCATTATCAACAATTATCAACATTATCAACAATTATCTACACTAACAATTCAACATTTCCAACAATTTTCCACACTAACAATTCAACAATACCAACAATTATGAACACTAACAATTGAACATAATAAACAATAACAATTCAACATTATCAACACTAACAATTCAACATTATCAACACTAACAATTTAACATTATTAACATTTAACCACAATTCCAAAAAAAAAACCATTAAAAAAACCCTACATTTTAAAAATCAAAGAAAGAGAGGGCAAGTAGCAAAATCGGGGTGATGTGAGGCTGCTCGGGGGTGTCGGCGGCGGTGCTCAGAGGGTGGCGGCGGTGGTTGGGGGGATTTGGGTTGCTTGTTGAGTGAGAGAGAGATTGGGTTAGGGGATTGAAATGAGGGAATGCGAGGAAGAACCAGGGAATGAGAGGAAGAAGACGCTGCTTCTGTGCAGCGATAAAAACAGATAAAACGCTGCCTCAGACAGCGTTTTACCTTATTTTATTTTATTTTTTTATTTTCACAATTCCAGCTTAACGAAATAAGAATTTAAAAAAAAAAAAGTCAAAAGTAAAACGCTGTCTGAGACAGCGTTTTACCCTGAAAGCTTAGTTTGGTAAATAGTTTTGCCACGCAATCAATTTGGTAAATAGTTTTTGTTTGAAGCTTAATTTGGTAAAACGTCCAAATTTTTCTATACTTTGAATTGTATGCTTCCCTTGTAGCCGTTTAGGACCTTTAGTAGTATTTATTTTTTTAATTTTTTTTTTTCATTTTTTCCCAAATTTTAAAAAACTGAATGGGTAGTTGCCTAATTGGGGATAGTAATGTATAGGTTTTGGCAACAGTTGACCACAAAGTTATTTGTTGAACCTTTTGAGTGAATAGGGTTGTTGGGAAGAACATTTCTTTTGTTTAAAACCTTGCAGAATACAATTTTCATGCATCTTGGCTGTAGCTTTTGGATGTATTTGGTTGATTATTAATTAATCCTATTTATTTTTCTCTTAAAAAAAGGGTGACCGTTTTTCAATTTTTTTGCAGCTTTTTTATTCTTTTTATATCATTAGTTATTATTATAAAATAAAATTATGTATTTAATATTATTATTAAATATTAAGTATTTCTATTCAAAAAAAATATATATTAAGTATTACTATTCCCTAAAAAAAATATTAAGTGTTATTATTATGATCGGTAAACATTAGAAATTGTTATCAATTTTCTTTCAAAAAAAAAAAAAAAAGAAATTGTTATTAATTCAGTTTAAAAAAGGAATTATTATTAATTGTTATTATTATTATTATTATTAATTAATATTTTTACTAAATATTAATTCTTTATATTGTGAATTATTAATTATTAATTATTTATTATTATTAATTATTATTATTGTTTTCGTAAACACATTAATTATTATCATTAATACAATATTAATTATTATTATTATTATTAAATATTAATTATTATTATTGTTATTATTAATTATTATTTAAAATAGAGCAGAGCAGAGTAGATTTGAGTAGAGCAGAGCAGGGCTCGGCAGAGCAGCTCTAAAGAACAGGGTCTTAGTCGTTCTTGTTTGGGTAAGTTGTATATCCGTACAACAATGGCAACAACTTCTTTAGGAAGATTTAAAGTACACTAGGCGAGAGAGAGAAGAGTAAATGACGGTCTTTAATTTTTTTTGAGAGGGAATTGAATGCACAAGGACGAATTTAGGTGTGAATTATGTTAACTACAATTAACAATGACATGTCAGCAAGTTACTAACCTCTCTGATAGGTTGCCAGTCATCATGGACCAATATGAGAAGTGGGAAAGTTGAAATTATTCTAAGTTAAATTAAAGTTGGGATTATTTTAATAAGACCGCTTAAAAATTGGATTATTATTTTTTCAATTTTCCTTTTTGTTTTCCCTTCTCGTCCAAACTCCAAAAGTCATACTCGTACTTTCACAAGTTTGGTTTGTCCTTTTGTCATGAACTAGCTTACTTTTTTCTTGCCTAAAATAACTTATATTTTGATTATTTTCTCTTACTAGTAAAAAAAAATAAAATAAAAAAAAAAAGAAAAACCACGATGCAATTACAAATAATTATTACACTTTGACGGAAAAAATCCCATTATTGGGGTTATAAAACACGGGATTTAAGATATGGAAAAGTGAGAGAAATCACAGAGGAGAGAGAAAGATAGAGAAGCTCATTCTAAGGGAGATCTTGTTGAGTCAAGGTAATAATCTAAACCTCTCAATTTGATTGATCTATTGAAGTTAAATTGATGATAATGTTGATATGTTTCTAGATTTGGGATTGAATCCCACTGTTCTTGATTAAATTACTTCAGCAATTCTGGGTTAATTTGATTATAGTTGGAATTTCTGCTTTTTATGACAATTTTGGGTAGTTTTATGGTGTTTGATTAATCTTAGGCTCTTAGCTATCAATTTAGGGTTTTGGGGGGTGTGATTGATTGAAAAAATGGTTGAAATTGGGGATGTATCTGATTCTAGGGTTTGTAGAAATAGTTCATATGTTGAGATAGATGATAGCTTAAAGCAAGTGGTTGCTGTGAGTGTTTGTGGGTCTAGGAATTCGAGTCAATTGGGTGGTTCTGCTTCTGGTTCAAGGAATACGAGTCCGGTAGGGCGAACTGGGTCTAGGAATACTAGTCCATGTAAGCAGAAGGTTATTAAGACGAAACCTCGGGGTTTGGATGAAGAAACCATGGCAAAGTTTAGTAAAGCCATTCACCCGGATGTTCAGATGGAGGATAATATATGGGCAATGTTGCCAGAGGATTTGTTGAATGAGATTTTAGCTAGAGTTCCACCATTTATGATATTCCGGCTTCGTTCTGTTTGTAAGAGATGGAATTCGATCTTGCAGGATGGTAGTTTTCTTAAGTTTCACTCCCAAGTGCCGTCTCATGGGCCTTGTCTTCTTACATTTTGGAAGAACTCTAATACCCCACAATGCTCGGTTTTTAGCTTACCGTTGAAAACGTGGTATAGGATCCCATTTACATACCTGCCCCCTTGGGCGTTTTGGTTGGTTGGTTCTTCTGGTGGTCTTGTTTGCTTTTCGGGATTTGATGGTTATGATTTTAGAACCTTGGTGTGTAATCCCCTCACACAGACTTGGAGGATGTTACCAAGCATGCATTGTAATCAGCAGAGGCAGTTAATTATGGTTGTTGATCGCAAGGACAAATCTTTTAAAGTTATAGCCACATGTGATATCTATGGTGATAAGTCGTTACCCACTGAAGTGTATGATTCCAAGATGAACAGCTGGTCGGTCCACCAAATAATGCCTGCAGTTAACCTGTGTTCTTCAAAAATGGCTTTTTGTGATTCTAGATTGTATTTGGAAACACTTTCACCACTTGGTTTGATGATGTACCGGCTGGACACTGGATCTTGGGAGCACATCCCAGCAAAGTTTCCTCGGTCATTGTTGGATGGGTATTTGGTTGCTGGTACACAGAAGCGTCTCTTTCTGGTTGGAAGGATAGGCCTTTATAGCACCCTGCAAAGTATGAGAATTTGGGAATTAGATCATTCTAAAGTACTGTGGGTGGAGATTAGTAGGATGCCTCCCAAATATTTTCGAGCTTTACTGAGGCTATCAGCTGAGAGGTTTGAGTGCTTTGGACAGGATAATCTGATCTGCTTTACATCTTGGAATCAAGGAAAAGGCCTCCTTTATGACGTGGACAAGAAGGTTTGGTCTTGGATTGTTGGCTGTGCTCTGCAATCATACAACAGTCAAGTCTGCTTCTACGAGCCAAGGTTTGATGCATCCGTCTACTGACCTTGAATATTTGTTTCTTCTTAATGAGGATTTCATGGGGCTTTCTTTGGCACTTCAGTCTCCAACATGTAAATTTCATGTCCCTTATTGGCTTATTCCTCGTTTTGCTTCATATAGGACAAATGTTTTAGTTTACTCATATTATTGTGTCTAAGCTAAGACACATTGTCTGCTTGTGTTGTTAACGTCAGAAATTGAGACTATGTCAGCACATAATCCACATTTGCTTCCTGATGAGTTCACTACAGCAGTGGTCTTTTTTTTTTTAAGGCATGACTGGCCATTTTGACTGAGAACAGTGATTCAGTGCTGATGTGAAATTTGGAATGCGATGGGTTGGGTTGGTGAGATTTGTAATTGTACGAGTAAACATTACACACCATTTACGGGAGAATATGACAGGATCCTTTTGTCTCTCCAACTGCTGTATACTAATTGATAATATCAAGCACTTAATGTAAATTATTATCAATGTTTATTGTTATACATACATTCTTATATTATGTGCTTTTGTAGCTTGTTTATGTGCTGACATTCATCTTTTGTACAAGCTATTTCTCTCATCGTAAAGTTATTATGTCTTTGGAAATTAAAATTACCATGATCTGGTAGACTACGGTTAAGATTTGGAATAGATGCAAATGAGGTTCATTGCTATTATTTTTCTTGCTTGTCTCAAATTGCTGGAATTTTTTGTTTACACAATTGCTTCGGTAATGCTATCAGCTTTGATTGATACTTGCTCTTCCTTATTGCTAGAATATTATGTTGAGGAAGCAAAAATGTAATGATTATGAATATAATTTTTCTTAATCCGATAAAGCTACTAAATTTGTACTACTTCCTTCACTGTTTAGCTTTTCAGTGTCACAATCACTTTAGTACTTTTCTTGTGTAAACTTCAGTCAGCCTTTCTATCATCATTTAATGCACATAGTTAACAGTTACCCTATCTCTTTGCATCTGATTGATGTAAGTCGAAGACGACAAGGGTACAGCTGTGTGGGAGCTCAATTTCATTGATAATATATTAATATGAACATCTTTCAGGTTTTGCATGCACCTTGATTGTGTTAACAATGTGGTGTAGTTTCTCAAAGATCATAGGGACATGCACAATTGTTCTTTGTAGTTGTGTAAAAGTTAATCATGGGTTTTTATTGATCATTATATCCTAGCCATAGCCGTGTACTGTTGGTATGATTTTTTTTCCCCCCTTCGTTTTTTGGGTCCAGGGAAGCCAGAACGGGCAGTGCTCTTCACTTACTAGATTCTGAACTGAAGCCAACTTAAGTTGTTTATCTTAGACTAGTCACAAATTGTTTATCTTTGAGTCCTCAGATATTGTTTATCTTAGGCTCGTCATGATATTGTTTATCTTAGACTACTCACAAGGTTGTTTATTCAAATTCATCACTTGATCTTTGTTGTGTCCTCAAATTTACGCTTAGTGCCAGAAGTTTAATTAGGTTTGCTAAAATTGCTCAATATTGCGCTATTCACATCTTTCTGAATTTTTTTATCCAGCTCCCTGAAGGTAGGTAGATATAGCTTTAAGATTGATGTATCATGTATCATGATTCATGAATTAGATTCAGCATCTATCCTCTATGGTGGTAAGAATTGGATTGAAAATATGTTATTGCCTCTTCTTTTTTGTTTACTGAGTTCTAGGTGATAACTTGGGAGACAAAATAGCCAAGGTTTTACAATACACCACAATATGATTCACCTATGTTTGCTGGAAGCAGACAGTATAATGCTGTGTAGTGGCTTTCTTTATCGTGTGAGTCCTTGTCCCCTTGATTTGAAACTCTGTCAAATTTTTACTTAAACAGTCTCATATACTTTTATTAGTTTGTTTGATTGATTTTGTTATGTCTAATTGATTTATATATTTGATAGCAACCACTATGAAAGTATATATGTAAATATAAAGCTTCTTCAGAATCAGGACTGTGGAACTGTTGGCCTGATCAATCTGAGGTCTGCGTATGACTTGAGGTGGCCATGAAAACGGAAGAGTTGTTCCTTTGTTGCGTAGGTATCTTGGCGATACACATGTGGAGGGAATTGAAATATGTTCTGAAAATTTTCCTGCTAAGTTATGGACGTACAGAAGAAGTCAGCCTAACAAGACTGTGGTAATGAGGCTCAGAGGCTGTGCCGCTGTGTACATCTTTACCTCCCAAGGCAAGATTCAAACCGGGTGTTTTTATTGTGATTATTTCTAGCTGTGCTTGCCTTTTGCAGTTACGTTTTTTTTAAAAATAAAATGTAATCCCTCATGCTCACTTCCCCTTGAAACTTCACTGTTAGATTTTATTCATCTGATTTCTATTATTCTTTTTTCCTTCTCCAGAAAGGTATGTCTGACATTGTTTCTTTAATTACTTATTGCTTGTTCTCCTAGTTAACTTGTTGCTTGTCATGTGTGAGGTTATGTGTTTCTTTATTTACCATGCTTATGTTGGGTTTCTTGGGTGTTATTGTTGTATCTTATGAGTCGTTTTCTTTATTTTTGGGTAACTTACTTTAATTTCTTTCCAGATTAGCTCATCTGCTGGTAAAATGATAATGGTTACGAATGCAGGTCACAGTTGGATTTTCCATATTGGGCTAGTTGGATGTGTCATTCGATAAAATTTTGGTTTGGTTCTCGTAAAATTTTGGTTGCTTCACGTGGAGGGTCTTTCATCAATAGGATTATCATGAAAATCATTGTAAATGTATTATATAAATGTTATGGTTGGTTTAGTTTAGGTTAGGTCAATTTCAGTTGGGGTCCAAATTGTTTTATCTAATTACCAACTTACTTTGGGTTTCGGGTCAAATAAGTTTTCCGGGTCTAATGACAAAATAAGTAATGATTGCTTTGGTGTCATTTCTACTTTCAATGTTGGAAAATGCTATACATAGCCCTAAAGGCTACATATAAGCATTTAATTTACTCTTGAAAATTGTTTAAATTTAGAAAATCATGACAAAAACACACTAATTACACCGATTTGCGCGTGTTTTTGTCATGAATTCCTAACTTTATACATTTTCCAAGAGTAAATTCAATGCTTATATATAGCCCTAAGGGCTATGTATAGCATTACCCTTCAATGTTTTATTACATAAGAGAACAATGCAATGCAAAATCCTTGCTTAAATAATAAGCTAACATAATACTATGATAGAGAGGGTTTATAGGAGTGAGTGACTACATTGAGCTTCATGAACTTATAGTTGTGCTAACTGATAGATGCTGATTGGAATGCAGTCAGTGGCGTACTGGCTGTAGCCTCTGCGTGCTATGATCGCATTTACAGCTTGCGTTGGGTGGAAAGAATCCCAGAAGACATACTTATTTCTGTCTGGACATGGTTGCTGCAAAGGAAGACAGGTAACTTCCCCTCCCGCTCTTCCATTCCCGCAGCAGGCTTTGGTTGCTTCAGAAAATCCTGTAACAGAAAGTAGGGACACTAACTAGTTAGTAAGTGTTACTCTTCAAAGTTATGCACCTTAAGTAATATCTAAGTGTAGTTGATGTTGCTTCTCACCATATTTAGAAGGATTGTGGGTCATGTCGCTGAAGAGATCGTAAATATTCTGATAGACAAAGTAAGAACCTGGAAGGCTTTGGTTCAGTGTATTTGTCATTTGAATTAGACGACTATTGAATGGAATGATCAAATTATTGACGCTTTCTACACAGCCGTTGTCCCTTGACTTAGATAAGAAAGAAGGTATACATCCAAGGGGACCCGATCCAACCAGCACCATTTTTCTGGCACCGAGGTTGTATAGTCTCTGTAATCAAAAGGAAACAAAAATATGATGAGCTATGATTGTGTATTTAAGCTGCTGTAATGATAATAGTATAGTAATATAGCTAATAGCAGAGTTGCTGAATTGAGGTTAGGCTTTAGTTGTGGTTGCATGCATGGATATTAAATAGGCTAACTGGGTAAGTAGGAAAAGTTAGGCAGGTTGCTTAGTTTTAGCATATTTTTGTTGCTTGTATGTTGTACTTGCTATTTGTATCTTAACATAATTAAAAGTACTCCCTCCGTCCCATATTATAGTTTCTGTTTTCTTATTTTGGAGACCCAAAATATTGTTCCTGTTTCTATTTTTGAATAGTATGTAAACACCATTAACTTCATTTTTTTAACTTTATTCATTGAACTTTCTAATTTACCCTTAAATTATCCACTTGCTTTGTACTTTTTTTTTCCACTTTCTCTCTCTAACTTTTATAATTGTATTTTTCACTTTTTTTCCCCTTAAATTATCCACTTGTCTTGTGTTGTTGTCTAACTTTTGTCCATTTTTAATGTACTTTATCCACTTTCTCCTCCCATTTCTAAAATACCGTAAAAAAACACAAATGAAAACTATATATTGGGACGGAGGGAGTAAGTCTTTTCACTCTTTTGCTTCCATCTTATATTAATTACTGTGGTCATTATTGACTTGTCATTAAATAGGTTAAATGTGCTATATATATGCTTCATGGAACAATTACTTTCTTTGAGATTGGATTAATGTGTTTGGTGACATACTAACATAAAGGACTCAAAGTAGAAAATTAATAAAGACACTACATCAAAGACGTAATTTACGTTAAACTTTCAATTACTATGGACTATAAACTAAACTGTCCTACTTTATTGTGAATTAGGTCACTCAGTTTTGTTTTGGATCAACAGTCTAACAGAAACAACCTCTTTACAGTTGTGTAATAAAGGTAAAAGAGCCTCTTTTCAGTTGTAGGCAAGTTGGCATGCATATGAGCTCCTTTATATTATCTTAGGTGAGAGTTTCTCTTTGGATGAATAACCACCACATAGGTTATTGGTGTGATAAAAATATGGATGGAATTTACTATAGAATACTTTCAGCTATATCTTGTGCTGAATGGTATTTTATTGAAAAAGCTTTGAACATCAGTTATAGTGAATTATTCCCTTTATCCGGTTTAGTTAATACGCTTTAACTTTAATCACAATTTGGACCATTTGTTTTGCTAATATACTAAAATAAATGTTAGTAAGATAGATGTTATTGCGTTTATCTTAATGTATATTATCAAATTATTAACTTTTTATATTTTCACAAATTGATAATTACAAATATTGAAGGTGAAAATATGTCAACTAAATAGGGACACAGGGAATATTAAGATCAGTCAGATAAATTTGAAGATTAGACCACACTTTATTTTTTGTTTTCTTAAAATGTATGAAAAAAGGTATACGAAGGAGCCTTACTGTTATCTGGGAAGTAAGTGTATTCATGAGGAGGTCAGCGTAGGATTCCCCGTCGTAGATACGACTGCTGTCATATCTCTGAGGTTGCAGATAGTTGTTGAGGTAGTCATTGCCTCCAATGTCGATTAGAAAGACCGACTTTGCGAGATATTGGCTTAGCTCATTTTGGTTTTGGAAAAGCGGTGGCAATTTCAGCGAAAGTGTCTCCTGAAATTGTGATATCTGCCCATTCAAGGATGTCCGCTGCCCCTGAAAAGTATTTAGTGTAAAAGTGTTAAATGTTGCTTACTGTCACTTTCAAATACTATAGTGAATTTATCTTCAACTTTATTAAATTTGATATCAACGTATTCATGCATTAGTCTTAGGTGGAGTTATATGTCAATAACAGCAGCAGAAGTAGAAAACTGCATCGTGGGTTTTGAAAAACACTCATGTTTTTTTAATTAAAATTTCTCTTCTTGAATGTCATGTCTTTGTTTCTAGTACATATAACGCTTTCATGAACCTGAGTGCTCATGAATACGTACACGTAAATTTTTTTTTACATTTTGTTGACAAGTTCTAGAATCATTTTATTCATGGTTGCTTAACAAAGAGCTGGTTAATTATTGGATGAAAGATTTAAGCTTACATAATGTCTCCCAGTCTCATCAAGTATCCCTGCTGCAGCTGATGCGTAGTTGATCCCTCTAAGGATATTCTTGCCGAATGATGTTATCGAGAAGAACGGTGGTATATATGGCAATCCCAGATACCGCGCTGTTATGAGCATTGAATAAAAAAATCAAGTCAGCATCAAGAAGTGAAAAATATTAAGAAAGATGGGCGTGTGAATTCCAAGTTACCTCCATAATCTACAACAGTTAGGCCGTTGCTGAACCGGCCTGACGGACCTCCGGTGTCTATCCCATATGGGAAGTAATTGGCCTTTGCTGCCGTGAACAAGTAGTTGTTGTTTCCATTGTCAATCAAGGAGTCACCAAAGATGAACAAAGCAGGGGTGATTGGTTCAGTTGCTGCACCATCTTGAGCATTGGTTACCACGTTCAGCTCAGGTAATAATAAGCAGAGTAATGTGACAGCAAAAATTACTCTCGTCTTCTCCATTTCTCTGCGTCTCTCTCTCACTCTATATGAATGTGTTTGTTTCAGTTTGCAGAGTGCAGACTTTGCTCGATTGCTTGGCTGTTTATAACTGCAGCGAAGGGGTCAGAGTTATTACCCTTGAAGGATAAAACAGTAAAGTCATAGCTTGGTTGTTATTGATTTACTTCTATTTATGATGTGTTTTTTTCCCTTTTTACAGTGCCCCGTGTTTTTAACTTTGGATTCTGACTACAGTTCAGGTAAATGATTATGAGTTTTGGTCCACATTATTATTATTTTTTTTTCACTTATTGCATTTTCAAATTTTTTAGTTGAACTGCATTCAATATGTTAAACATACGAGTAGGAGAGTAGCAGTAATTTACTCGTATTATGGGGTCATGGCATCGGCAGAGGTTACAGGGATGGATAAAACCAGAGTAAATGCACTTCATATCTCTGTTTCCAGTTGTGATTCTGGAGCCGTCCCTGTTTCCGTCTGCAGTTTATGCAGAGCTACTAAATACTGAATAACGTGGCTTTTAGTTCGTTGTCTGGGTTTATATTTTCTTAATCTTTTTAGTTCTTACGTTTCCGTGCATTTTCTTTTTCTAATTCCCCTGTAATTCTGTTAGTTTTGGGCATGGGAAAGAGAGCTCGCAGGGCTGCAGGAAAGGACTAGCTTAAGTAAATTTCCACGTAAATCTTCTTGGTTGCCCTTGATTTGTGTTTCGCTCTGCTGTTGGCTCCAACCTTTTGGGACAAATTTGGGTCCGATTTTCACCGAGATTAAAGTTAAAATAAAAGGAAAATCTCCCATCACCTATACCTTAGTGTTAATTAAAGTATGTTGTGCTATTGGCTCAGAAGTCAAAAGTCCAACTTCCTAGGGTAAAGGGTTTATAAATGTGTAAATGGAAAGTACCTTCTTCAGTCTTGTACAATTATGAATTTTTGACGATCTTAAATTAACAAGATATCTACTTGTAGTATATTGTTATCGTAACTAACTTCAATATTTGAATGGATATCAAAGGGGAATTTTAATGGTTGTACCATCAGTTCTCAGCTTGGAGGTTGGTGGTTGGATTTTCACCCTTCTCAACCCCTTGGTTAGTTGGGAGTTTTTACTATACCTGTGTCTAGCCTTTGAATTAGGGTTTTTTCAGTCCGATATCCTCCTTCGAGTCCTCTCCTAGCCTCCTAGGTCTTACGTGCTCCACGATCAACAATAAAAAAAAATAGGATTACACAAATAATGCATAATTATGTAAGAGCAGCCTTGCTGTGAATGAGTAATTATCTGGCCATAAGCGAGGTCTGGTGAGGTTAATGATCAATTAAGATTAGTACAAAGGCTCTTTTTGAAAGACCACCAGAATGTTTAGTTTGTCTGAGTTGAAACTAGATACTTATGTTCGTACTTGCTTGATCACTAATTGTTCTCTAATTTTAGTTATTGCAGTTAGACTTGTATTAGATCCGAACTGTATTTTGACTGACCTACTTGATATAATTACTGTGAGGTCTGGACTCGCCTTGACTAAATTCATCATAATAATTCTAACAGTAGACCTGTATGTGACCTGACCAAACAAATCCGAACCGAGTCACTGAGCACTTGAACATGACCCGAACTAAACCTGACTTGAATAACCCGACTTTAATAACCTGTTTTCCACATACTGTTTGAGGTTCTCCATAAATGGCATATGCAAACCAAGATCCAAAAAAGTTTCCACCTTTAAATTTCAGTTAATCCCCTGAATCTATCAACTACCAGTTCTGCAAATTGTCCTGGTTACTTATTATCCACCATCTTACAAGAACTTCAGGCCCATGCTTCTTCTTATAGACTAATTTCAAAACTACGCAACCACCTCAATTCAATTTATTCTGAAAAATTACCAAATTCTGACATCTGAAGAGCAAAACCTACCAGTTAAATGTATGTTTAATATTCTTTCTTTTTTACTTTGTGTAAGGGACCAGTAAAAAAGGTTAAGTTTGACCTTCATTAAGGAAAAAATGTACCAATTTGGTCACTATATATCTTTGATAATTCATATATGATTATGTATAAATTTACTAAAACGGGGTTCAATCTGCAGGTGAATTGTAAACCACACAACATAAAATCTTAGCTTCTATTATGCAGCAAGGAAGGTGAGAGTTTCATTTAATACTCCCTGCCGTTTCTTTTCGGGCATTCATGGAGACGGGCCCGCTCTCTGTCACAGATGCTTCATGAAATTTGGCAATGGTAAGATTATTTCAAGTACTAGTTGCTTAAGTTTACCTTAGTTTCTTATTTTTCTTGATCCAAATTATTCCAGATAATTAGGAGCTTCACTAAAATTGAAGTTTAGATGTTTAAAATGAAACCCGTCAAGTAACTTGTTGAGATACGTACTTGGTGTGTGTGTGTGGTTGCGTAGTTTTGTTCTTGCTTGATACGATTCAGCAACTTTTTATTATGTACATCTCAAAATAATCAACCCCGAAGAGTACTACGAGTATAATGGATTCTTTCTTAATTATCTATATGGGGCTGGAAGGGTGTCCATGCTCTAGTCCCTACATTCCTAAGGCACAGTTTATCATTTATATACAGCATGTCGAAATGCTAACTTCTATAGTCTATGGAAGAGGGTAGGCCAGGCAGTAATGTGCTCACTAGTCCAGAGTTTCGAGTCTTAAATATCGAGTTTGAATCTTCATAGCGTTAGGTTAGGAGTTCAGGATTATATAGATAAAACTTATGTTACGGTTTTTTTCATAGTAAAGCACTATGCAACACTTGTGTGGTGCTCCGAAGAATGATATAATTTGCGAGTTTAGAGGGGTGGCTAAGCCGAACTTAAGAGAGGTGAGCCATGTAACATTTTTGGTTTCAAAGTCTATTAGCCCCTCTAATCATAATATAACTTCAACGATCGGAATTTTACATCATCATTAATTTATTCGCCATGAAAATCGTTAATGTTTATGTTTATGTTTCATCCTTAGAATTTATATATTTTCACATAAACATGTAAAAAGTTACAAATAGCATTTTCTTCATTAAAGCTATCTGTTATGGATGCCAAACACCTAAATCCTTCAGCAATTTCTAAATCTGACCGCAGTAACTGCAATAATAAATAAATTAAAAAAATCCTAAGATTAAGTTAGTTGAATAATGTAGTACCACTGCATCTCTTATTAATTATGTCTAAGTTAGATTTTTTTTTTCTTTTCATGGCAATTTGGTCAGTAGAAGTTTGTCGGTAAAGTTTAAGCAGAAAAAATTGAGGTTAGTATTAACTGGGAATATTGTCTTGGGTTCATTCTTTTCCATTTACCAAGAGAAACAACATTATTATGTTGATGTTGCTTAACTACATTAGCTAGAAAAAACCAGATACGTGTGTATGGTTTCCAAAATTCATTATACTAAATAAGAATCGAAATCTATATCATTACGTTTGTGGCTCTCTATGACTATATACACGGGAAATAAAAAAAACCCTCTCGTATTAGATGACTAACAGTTACTGTAATTTACGTGTTTGGCTTTTTCATTCATTTACCATGGGGGTTATACACCTGCATCATGACTTTACTGTGGACTCTGAATCAATTTGGCCATCGCCTTAATGAGCATTTATCTACAATACTATGTACTGCGAAATAGTATAGGTTGCTTGTTATCTAACTAAGGATGTACATCAGTACATGTATGGCGTGTGTACTGCATTATTTTCAGTATTCTAGTATTTGATGGCTTCATTCAACTACTACTCGTACTTTAGTTTTGTTATCGTTGTTATATCAATACGCACTTAAACTGTAAATGAAAATCTGTGAACGTTTATCGAATTTTGATTTGGTACTAAACTGTGTGTAACCATAAGCAATCAACAACCTAGATCAAGTTCAAACCTTGTACCGTTTCTCTTATACAATGGCGGAGCTAAACCTTTCATCAATTGGGTTCAAGTAGTCAAAGTAGAATCAACTATAGAATGCTCAAGACTCAATTGCTCTACTCATATATTATTGTTTGTTCATGTCAATACGCATATTTTATTTTATTTTATTATTATTTTTTTTAACGGTATCAAGAAAGACCTTAATCATAACTTAACCATGACATTTTTATTTTGAAGGCACAAAAAAAAATGTCTTTGTCAATGTTTGATGGTACTCTGTATACAAAGTATAATACATTAATACTTCGTAATTTTGTACATAATTGCAAGTGTGATCAAAGAGCAAAGTTTTGGGCCAAACATTAATTATTTAATTCTGTGTATTTGTTTGTAATCACATTTCAGAAGACCATCAAGCTAAGCTAGGAATGAAAGCCAAATCTTTTGTGTGTGCTTAACAAGTAACAACCACTAAACAGTGGGCTTCCTCTAAAGAAGCTCTTTCCCAAAATTGGTACGACGTACAATATGTACTCTACCGTAAAAGGATAATATGAGAAAATTTAACATGACACCCAGTTGTAGATTTGACACCCTATTAGTTAGATTACATGCATAATCTGCTAGTTTTCAACCTATTAACCTTGCTGATATTCATTGTAATTATGGGATATTTAAAGCTGAAGTTAAAGCAAAAAATAATTGATATTTTTGTGTAGATATTTGTACGAAGTATCGAGTACGACAATCATTTCTAATTTAATTATTTGTCTCAATATAATTTGTAATAATACTTATTGTTGATATGCTTCCAAAATAAACAACTCTACCTACAAATCCACCTCAATCCCCCCTCTCAAAAAAAAAAAAAAAAATAATAATAAAGAAATTGAAAAAAAAGAAAAGAAAACAAAAGAAAATGAGCCTAAACTTGGAGGAAATAAAGAAAGAAAAAAGGGTTAATAAAATAGTGAGACAATAGTTTTATGCAAATTGAAGGGCAACTTTAAGCCATGACATGTGGCAAAAACAGACTTGGTAGTAACACAACACAAAACACCGTTATCAAGGAAGAACCACTACGGTTTAGTTGGAAATCGAGCCCTCGTGTTCTTAAACACTTACTTAAAACATTGTATTGTTGTTATCTTACTCATACTAAACATTGGTTTGTCACTGATTTTTATTAATTCTATGCACTTATCACTTGCCATCTTCTTTATGCTCTCACTTTCATGCTTTTTGCCCTTTGCCAAATTTTCCCTTGCCACTATTACCGGCGCGGTTGATTCTTTTCATACACTATCCGTTTTGGAATAATTGTAACATTTTGATATAATTGTTGCATCCAGTGCACAATGATGTTCATGATGCATCCATTAAAATATCAACATATGTTCATTGGTTTTGATTTACATGTTTGTTTTTGATAAAATATACGATAGGTATTCAGTTATAGAAGGATATATTTTGTGAATATTGTGTAATTATCTTTTGAGATTTCCTAACGTGATTAAGACTCATCAATGGAATACACTCCAATTGAAAGAGTTTTCACAAAATCTAACCGTTTTGAACCATATTTTTTTTTTTTAGTAAATAAATGAGCATTTTTTTTGTGTTTGAAGTACTCCGTTCATGTCCATTACTCGATTTGGACGTGGACATTAGACATGTTCTTTATTGATTTTGGGATTCATACTCATTTGTT